CTCTTCCCCTTCTCCCTCACTCTGGCCTTGTCATTCCTGGAACAAGTCAGGCCAGCTCCCTCCACGGAGGGCTTCCTACTCGCCCTTCTCTCTGCCTGGGACACTGTTCCCACAGACATGCACAGGGCCCACTCCCTCAACCTCCTGCAAGGCTTTCCCCACTCTTGTCCTCAGGGGGCCGTCCCTGGCCATCCCAGCTCAGAGGACAACCCCTTCCAACGCTCCTACAGCATCCAGGACCCCTGATGCGCCAGATTCCTTGCCTCTGTGTTTCCTGGCTGCTTCTCTCCCTGGAAGAAAGGCTCCCTAACAGCTCCACCGAGGTCTGTCTGGGTCACATCGGGAAGCGCACAAGAACCGAGCCTCTGGCAACTGAGAAGGCGTTCAATAAAGAATGTGCAGTGACTGCTGCAGTCATCTGAGGGAAGATGAGAGCTCGTGAGGCAAGGCGGGTGGGGGAAAGAGCATCGTGGGCAGAGGGAGCAGCCGAGCCGCCCCAAGGCCGGCGGGCACAGGGCACATTGGAAGGAATGACCGGATCGTGTACAGCAGGGAAGGCGAGCGGGAAGCAAGACTGCAGAAGAAGGACGGAGCAGCCCTGCACACACAGAAGGAACGTTTGGGTCTATCTCGAACGGCAACAAGAAGCCAGGAACCTAGGCAGTGACATCAACGAATGGGCCTTCCACAAACCTCTGGCTTCAGGGGGAGATAGGGATTTGGAGGCGGTAGAAGTATCTGGAAGCTCAGTAAGCAGACTAGAACCATGGCACAGACCACAAATGACCTTAACTCGGAATGAGAGGGCAAAAGCAGAGGTAGAGAAAAGGAGGTAGAATCCAGAGATGTTTAGCAGATAAAATCACAGGTCTGGGAGAATGATCACACAAGGGGGTAAGGAAGTAAAAGCAGAGTTCCAAGAGGACTCCTCCCTTTTGCACGTGGGAACTGAAGGACACAGTGGCCCGATTCACGGAGTTGGGGGGGGCTGGGGGTGGCGAGGAGGAGAATACAGGAAGGGGATCTTGAGAAGTTTTGGAAAGAATGGATTTGCCATAATTCAGAGACATTGATATACAGATTTCCCGTTGGCAGCGGGAGACCCAGGGAACCGTGAGAGGATCAGGAAAAGCAAAGTGAGTCGCCACACAGTACAGATTCTCACCTTGTGGCTGATGGGGAATCAAAGGGTTTTGAGGAACGCAGTAACAGGAGAAGATGTGGGATTCCAAGAAGATCACCCTGGCCAGAGCAGGAGCACGTGGATGGGAGAGGGAGCTGGATGAGAAGCAGGCAGAACAAGAGGGACCTGCTGCAACAGAGCAGGTAGGAGAAGGGACCGGAGCCAGGGCTGTGGCCACAGGGAAGGAAAGGGGAACAGACCTGCTCTTTGTCAGCAGTGCATCTCCCACGAGGCTCCTGGGGACCGTCCGAAAACCCGGAGCACGTCAGCTCCCCCACTTGACCCCTTGGTCCTCGCACGAGTCATTCTCTGACAACCTCCCCAGAATTCTCTCTTGCTCCCCGCTCCCTGGCCCAATGTCAGGTGCCGATGACACAGCCCTGGGCTTCCACGGCCAGGCTAGTTTCTTCTGCCCTGCAAACACCTATTTGTCTTTTGAAGGCTTCCCCCCTCCACTGGCAAAGAAGCAAGAGCAGTGCTGACATCGAGGAGGCGGCCTGGCACCATGAGCCGGGCTGCACGGCTGGTCGCCGCGGGCCTGGCGCTCCAGGAGACGCCACGTGCTTCTCCGGTTGCACGCAAATGACCTCGCAGAACAGCAGCTTGAGGTGCCGTGGCCCCGGTGATGAAGGGACACCAAAGAGGACCCTTTGCTCTTTTGTCCAAACAGACAAAAACCAGCTTGTCGTGCCCACCCCCAAATGCCAATCCTCCTCTCTCCCGCCTGATACCAGCGAGTGTCTTCCTTCTGAATGACACCGTCCGTCACGCTCTTCACACCTCCTTCTAGAAAACACTGATGGAGCTACCCGATCCCAGAACAGTCTCGCCTCGCCTCGCCTCAGCACCCAGACCAGAGCACACCCCTGCTTCCTTGAACACTCCCAAAAACCTCCGCCCAAAGCCCAAATCCTGTAAGGTCTTGCTAACACCCTCTTTCCTACGGATCGGCCCCACAGTCCCCATGACATGGGTTCTCCCTCAGGATGAGTAACGAAGCCACTGTGTTTAACGACAGGTGTGCTTCCCGTGGCCTTTGTGGAGGATGCTGACCACCGTCACGGGAGGAAGGGATGGTTCCCTTTCCTGGAGGGAATCCCAGGTGTCCTGGGAGGCTAACTGGCTTTCTTAGTGCGATTTTAGGGGCTTTATGGCTGTAACCTAGGGCAGCAGGAACCAGCCTAACCCACAGCTAGGACATAGCTGGAACCAAATAATATTCAGAATGGAGGGAAATCAAGGGGCGCCTCGGTGGCCCAGCTGGTTCAGCGTCCGACTCCTGATTTCACATCAGGTCATGATCTGAGGGTGCCGAGACTGAGCTCCAAGTTGGGTTCCACACTCAGTGTGGATTCTGCTGGAGATTCTTTCCCCCTCCCTTTCCCTCCTCTTCTGGCCCCACGCCAGGGGCATGCACTCTCTCTCTCTCTCTCTCTAAGATAAAGAAGTAAATAAAATCTGTATTTAAATAAATAAATAATGGAGGGAAAGCAAAAGAAGTAAGAATTATTTAGGGAAGGCTTCACTCTGTGTCAGACCCGGTGCTAACTGCCTTGGATCTATTGCTCATTTAATCCTTACATCCCAAAGGTGGGCTACCATTTTTATCCCCATTCCAAACACAGGACTGAGGCACAAAGTGATCTGCCCACGATTCACGCAAGGAATCTCTACGTTATTAATCACATGACTTTCTGACAAAATTTAAGGGTTTAACACACTACAGTGAAGATGCACATCACGGTATCACAGAACTTGAAGGACAGAGCCCTGCAAAATGTCCTCAAACGTTAACTTATGGATTCTCCCAATCTTCTTGCATGTTGTTCAGATAAAGGAAAGCCCGGTGCTAAAAAGGCTTTCATGAAATGCAACCAGATGACAAATATACGTGGTCTTTAGAGCCCCGGGCCCATCCCAGAAGACTCTGACTCAGTGAGTGTAGAGGAGGACGTGAACATCTCTGTTTTCTTTAAATAGCCCCACAGGCTCTGCTGATGTGCACTCTGGGCTGGGTACCACTGTACTCTCTGCAATTCCAAACCCAAACTTGCCCTACAATGTTTAGATGGCTGCAGACACAGGGGGGCATCGAAAACTGAGGCAAAGAAGAACAGAGAAATTACAAAAACTATCCCCTAGAGAGTCAAGAAAAGGAAAGCTCTAGTTATATTACTTCTCTGTCCTTTGGCTGTGTCTGAATTACTCTACAGTTAACTTACTTTGTTTTAAGTAGGCAAGTTTGCTAAAACGTTTACCAACAAATACTAAATAATCAAGACTACCAATACATTTTAAATAAAATTATACTATGCTACTGAAAAGTATTTTCTGATTATTTCAATGGCACTTCAGAGTCTCTTAGCAAGTAGCAGTCGATATGCGAACATTATTTCTAATTCAACAGTTCTACACATGTGGTCAACAGCACCTGAACACTGGAGAAGAAATGAAGTTGGCTGGAAGGCTTTTAGCTTCCCAAATTTCACCACACACTACCGTCAAGTCTTCAATACCAATGTATGTATTTACCTCTTTATTTAATCAACCACCACTAACACCCACTACATGTCAGACAGGGCTCTACGTGTTTCATTAACGTTAAATATCATTTATCTTTACAATCATCTAAGAAGTGGGATTATCATCATCTCCATTTCTCACATCAGGAAACTGAGACCCAGAATGGTTTAGGAACACAGCTCATAAGAGGCAGAGCTCCGATCAGCTTGGCTCTGGACTCCATGTCTTAAATCACTATGTTTAGTCTCCAGGAACCCACAAAAACTGCAAGTCTTAACCCCGAACCTTGGCTTGCCCACCCTACAGTCCCTACAGTCCCTACGTGGCCCCGGCTTCAAGGGCATTCCCTCAATTCCTTTCACAGTTCACACTCCTTCCCTGCTCTAAGTGAACACCCTCCCACATCCCCGTTTTTTTCTTAGCCTTCTGTTCTCAGCTTAAACATTACTGCCTAAAAGACAAACTCGAATGCACCCCGTAGTTCTCAGCACTCGAAGCAAAACGGTAATTATGTATTTCATGGGCAATTATTTGCTTCCAGTCTTTTCCAACCAGGTGGTGATAGGGTAGACGCCGTATCTGTCCTATTTATCCTGGGTTCCCAATCGCTGAATACCCACCCCCCACCCCCCCAAAGAGAAGGGCCTACCACAAAGTACACTCTCAACACTTTCTGTTGAACGAACGAACGAACGAACGAACTACACCCCAGCCTGGGCTTTCCGACACCTATCTGTGCTCACAACACGGCCCCCACTGCACCCCTAGAACGCAGACTCCTGCGGCAGACACGCAAGAGCTCTGCAAAGTCCTGGCTCTGCGCACCACTACTACGTGCTCCTGGGCAGACCATCCCCCCCGCCCCGCCCCAACACACCTTGACTGACCTGATCTCAGGTGCACAACGGGCACCCTGACGATCCCCAACGGAATGTGACCTATGCAAGAGGAAGAACCTGCACTCCTCCTCCCCTCTCAACGCTAGACTTCCTTGCTTCTCGTCGGGCTTCCATAAGGACTCGAGCCCCAAGGAGGCCAAGACCCCGCCGGCCTGCTGCAGGCCGCATTCCCAGTCACGCTCCCCCCAGGCCTGGCGCACAGCACAAGGGAGGTCATTCTCCGCTCCAGGAATGAAGCCCCGCGCCGGGCACTTCACACGTGCGAAACGAGGGTCGCACGAGGTGACGGCGCCCTTTTGGCGAACGAGCGTGTTCCGGAGACACAGGCCCGCCCCCCACCCAGGCCCCAGGCCCCAGGCCCCCGGGGACGCTGGGTCCCCGCGCCCGGCAGGCACCTCTGCACGGAGAAGCATCTTCGCAAGGGCCGCGCACTCCCTCGTCGTCTGGGTCTGTCGAGGAGGACGAACAGGAGCTGAAAGAGGCCGTCCTCGGACGAGCGCCCATGGCCGTGGAGGTTCCGGGGTGCTGTCCCCACCGAGAACAACGAAACCGGGTCCCCGGGCGCTGGGGGGACGAGCCAGCCTCGGAGAGGGAAGGAGGGCTCGCTTCCGCCGCGCTCAGCTGCCGGGGCTCAGACCCGCCGCTCACGTCAACCGCCCAACAACCTTCCCGCTCATTGGCGCTTCTGCCCAGACGCTGATTGGACAGCTTCCCGCCCGCTCGGCCCGCGGACGCGCCCCTTGGGTGCCTCCTCTGGCCCCGCCCACAGAGCCCTGGGCACCGTCTACCCCTCCTTTCCCGTCACCACCTGGCGGGACCGCCGTCAAAGCCCCGTCTTCCTTCGCTCCTGGTGCTGTTTTCTGAGTCTGGCGTCTGTGTGTTCATCACAAGCTTGAAATGGCTGTAGTCTGTCGCAAGGCCAGCTTTCCCCCCACTGAAGTGCTTTGGCTCCCTTTTCAAAACTCAGTTGAGCGTATTTGTGGGGACTCTTTCTGGGTTCTTTGTTCTGTTCTATTGATCTGTGTCTGTCCTTCTGCAGATACCACACAATCGTCCTTAGTAAAACTATCGCAGAAGTTCTGAAACTGGGTAGACTGCATGTTCCCACTTTATTATTATTTTCAAAATTGTTTCTGAAACTACTCTTCATTCCTTTGTCTATCCACATACACTTTAGAATCATCTTGTCTATCAATCTACAAAAGAAAACAAACCCTGACTGGGTTTTGACAGGAATTGCATTAAATCGATCTATCAATCTGGGCAGAATGAACATCTTCACTATGCTTAGGCTTCCAATTCACAAACATGGTATATCTCTGCATTTATTTATATCTCCGATTTCCTCTATCAGTGCTAACGGCTGTGGGCATGCGAGTGCTGGACATGCTTTGTTCGATTGATCCCTAAGTATAGTTTTACTAGTAATTGTGAACGTATGTTTGATAGTGGAGCCCACATGTTCGTTGCTAGCATACAGCAATACAACTTTTACATGTTTCTTCTGTATACTGTTTCACTGTGAAATGCCATTAGTAGTTGTAAGAAGGCTGACATTTTCATAACCTCTTGGGGCATAAGGCCTGAAATGAAGATTCCATATTAAGGGCTGTCTTCACACCAGGGACAATCAAGGAGGGACGGAAACAGCCTAATGCAAGTTCTCCTCTCCCTCCTCCCTCACACGTAAGGTCTCCTAAGCAAAAACCCTTCTCATCACAGGGACCAGACATAGTGCCTGTTGATTTGGGGGAGCAGCGTTCAGTTCCCTAGAAGCCCACTGAATTCTTCAAGCAAGCCACTCATACCCTCCCAAGGGAACCAGGACTTGCCCCACCTTCTTGTTAGGACAAAGTCTTGCCTTCCAAGCCCCTGCTTGTTCCCTCTGTTCCCAAGTGCAATTCCTGTGCAGCCCTGCACAGTGTGTGGTATCCTCCTCCCTTGAACTGTGAGAATATGTGACTAGTCAACTGCTGCCAGTCACATCTGTCAGGTGTCAAGGGATCCCTACAAGCCTAGAGCAGGAATCTCTCTCTCGTCAGGGAACTGAGGAGAAGCTGAATAAAAGCAAGTGACATCACAAACAGGGTGGCCCCACCTTAACTGAGGACACGGGGTCAGCTTGACGTGCTCCTTGGCTTCCTAACTGGCTTCAGAGGGGACAATCACGATCTGGGAGGGAACTGGCAACTGCGGGCCAGCTTGTGTGTTAGCTCGTGTTCTGTTAGCTCCAATGGAGGTCGCCATCCGTTTCCAAACCAATGTCCCATCCTTGCCAACAAGTTGAGTACAGATGCGACTTGACTGTACCTAGGAGGGAGGTGCCATCAGTGTGACCTCCATCTGGCCTGTATCGGTCTCCAAGGCTCCCCGCTGAGGTCGGCAACCCCACGACCTGCTGACTGGGGTGCTTGAGTTCCACCGACTGGGTGTTGGGCCAGTGCTTGGGGCAGACAGACAGATCCGGGTGGGGAGAGCGCACCCCACGCACCGTCCTGGGGATGACCCTCTGTGTTGTGGGTGGAAAGGAAGGGGGCCACGACCCCAGGGAGATGTAAGAATGGCTCCCTGGCTGCCTCCTGAGTCACTGTGGGTCAGGCAACGCGAGTGGCCTTGCCCATCTCCCCAGCTGCCGCTCCTCTCCCCGTTACCGTGTGTCCCCCGGAGCCCTCAGGGTTTGGAGGCGCACATCCATGGCAGCCCGGGGCCCAGGAGCTGATGAGAAACACAAAAGTGGAGGGTCGGCCGTTTGGTGCTCCACCTCTCTCCCAGTGCAAAACCCCTCCTCCACACACTTGCTTTCTCTTAGTGTTGTTGCTTCCCAGCGCGTCCAGGGACTCATCTCTGGATCCAGGGCCTTGAGGCTCCCACTCTGGCCATGGACAAAATGATCTTCCTGGCTGTGGACTCCAACACTGGGGAGATGGACTGGCATGCCCGCAGGAAGAGGACAGTCATCTGTGGGGCCGACCCACCCAGCTCCCTTTCTCCATCAACACCCAGAACATGTGCACCACGTCTGAATAGCTGGAGACAGAAACAAAAACCCATGACTTTATGGGGCTAGAAATGAAATAGTCTCCTGAGGGAATCGGTAGAGTGGGAAAAGGGGGGAGGGGAAGCCGTCCACACTGAGAGAAGGTAGGGCTGTAGCAGAAGATGCTTTGGCTTTATCAACGTCTGCGCTGTGGGTCCTGTGCTCTTTCACTTACCACCCCACTGCCTAAACCTGTTTGGCACAAGATCGCCATCCTCAGGGTCGTGGGGGAAACATCCGTGGCACCCCTGTGGCACAGTGAGGGTATCAATTCACACCCTGACTTACGCCAGGACACCTGAAACCATACGACCATTGCCACGACAGAGGCTCCAACCCTAATGATGCTGATTGGAGACTCTCTGGAAGAAAAAACGGAGAAAGATGAACAGGGTAAAAAGACACTCCCTAACCCAAGCATATATCCAGGACCAAACAAACCCAAGAAAAGGAGGAATGGAAGAAAGAAAACTGGATACAGGAAGAGGAACCCCCCCAAATTAATTCGACATAGGTTCACAATTTGACCCAACTGGAAATCCAAAATTCACAGGGGCGCCTGGGTGTTTCGGATGCTTAGGCGTCCGACTTCAGCTCCAGCCGTGATCCCGGGGACCTGGGATTGAGCCCCATGAGAGGCTCCCTGCTTGGAGGGGAGTCAGTCGGCTTCTCCCTCTGCCTCTGCCTGCAGCTCCCCCTGGTTCCTGCTCTTTCACACCTGCTTGCTGTCTCTCTCTCAAATGAATGAATAAACCTTAAAAAAAAAAAAGAATTCCAAATTTACTACCATAATTTATATGGCAAAAGATAAAAGGAGGTCAACTGGCTTTTGGCCCTCTAAAACATAGGTTCTGAATTAACGTTAATGTCTGCTAAGATGTACTAGTTGGGTAACCTTCATGGACTCAATACCAGGGCTCCAATTATGCTTGTACCTAGTAAAATAACCATATTTTCTAGCTTCTGTATTTAATGCTTTGACATCAGGCCTTGCTGACTTTGGAGGGACTGTCCCTGGCAGGCTTAGTTAATTCTTAGAAAAAGTCCACAACTGGCCTGGGAGCATACCTTTCACATCCAAACCAACCGGTACAGAACCCTTACCCCCAACCACCTCCTCTTAAGCAGCTCTGGGCCACTATGGCCTGCCCTGATCACTGCAAGGGTGGGCACAGCCTCCTGCAGACACCACTATGGCCTGGAGCCCACTGAAATTATTCAAACTAGCCAGTCTTAAACGTGCTTATCCTGCCTCACCTGTCCCTTCCCATGGAAACCACAATAAAGGGTCTTGCCCACATTTTCCCTTCACTCCCTCTTTCTCCTGACCAACCCTGGTGCTTCCCTAGGAGGCCCTCCGTGGCTCTAAGGAACTCCTTTCTTGGGATCTGTGAGTCTACAAAACTTCATCCATTGTGACAGTTACTTCTATATCTTCCTGGCGCCCTTAAAACATCTGAGACCCCTAGGGTTGCCTGGGTGGCTCAGTCGGTTAAGCTTTTGGCTCAGGTCATGATCTCAGGATCAAGGGTCAAGCCTCCTGTTGGGCTCCTTGCGCAGGGTGGTGTTGGCTTGAGATTCTCTCTCTCTCTCTGGCCCTTCTTCCCTCCCCCTGCCCCCGCTTGTGCTCTTTCTCTCTCTCTCTCTTTAAAATAAATAAATAAAACCTTAAAAAAAAAAAACCACTCTGAATCCCAATAAGTTTAAAGATGGTGTTATTTTGCTATTATAGATTTTCCAATATGTTCTGTTTAGTGCCTATTTCAACATCCTCTCAGTCACATGTGCCTTGACCTTGAAGGGGACACGTTTTACCTCGTTATGCACAGGGCACCCAAACCTCTCTGGTATCACTTGCAATCTTTGCGGGCAGGATCTTACTGCACCCATCTTTCTTCAGGAACATAGGTATGACATCACATTATGACATCCTACTGTGAGGACATTTGTTTGACACATTTGTTAAGGACATACAAGTTCAGGGGCACCTGGGTGGCTCTGTCGGTTAAGTGTCTGCGTTGGTTCAGGTTGTGATCCCAGGGTCCCGGAATCCCTGCTCACTGGAAAGCCTGCTTCTCCCTCTCCCTCTGCTCCTACCTGCCCCTTGTGCTCTCACTCTCGCGCTCTCGCTCTCTCTCAAGTAACTGAATAAAATCTTTTAAAAGAAAAAGGGACATGCAAGTCCTACATCTTTCAGTATTTTTTGGGTTCTGGAGGTGACATATTCCTTGTATATAAATTTTACATAAGCCCATTTAGGCTGTTACTTGTCAATGAGCCCACATTGGGTGGGGCTCCCCTCAACAAAAGGCTTTAGGATCTGTCCAAGTTAAAATCACCTGTGAGGGGGCGACAGGGTGGCTCAGTTGGTGAAGCGTCTGCTTTTGGCTCAGGACATGATCTCAGGGTCCTGAGATGCAACGCGTCATGGGGCTCCCTGCTCAGTGGGGAGCCTGCTTCACCCTCTCCCTTTGACCTCTCCTCCAGCTCGAGCTCTCTCTCAAATACATAAATAATATCTTAAAAAAAAAAAAATCACCCGTTAGTGCCCTAAGTGAAAAGGCTTAGGCAACCACCTCTCCAGTTTCCTGGAGTCCCTGGACCACCCATGGTATCTGTAAATTGTCCATGGGCTCCCAATGCAAGAAACGGCCCTCCTTGGCCCTGGGTTATACACCACGAAAGGAGAAATTGCTGGCCATGCACTGGGCTCTCCTGGAAACAGAGTCTCTCACAGACTCTGAGCCTTCATATCCTGCTGTCTGCTATTCCTTGGGTCATGATACCCCCACCAGCTTAATATAGTTACCAAGACCTTCTTGCTACAGGCTGAAGACAAAATCTGCATATCCTACCTGCAGGTGGGGGTGGCTGTTCTGTCCACAGTTCATTGTCAGATTCCGTGGTGCTGGAGGACGTAAGCCTTTCCTTCTACCTCTTGGCTACCTAAGGATTCCCTTGGGATCAAATGAGTAACCATCAATGGCAGTTGATACATTTTGGTTTTGAAGACCAACTCTCCCTCCTGGTCATGTGACCACTTCACTTCCTACAGAAGCACTTGTCCTACTCCTTAAAAGTCTCAGTCCCAGGTTGAAATTGGTGTCCAGATATCGGAGTCCACTGTGATGGAAAACCTGAGATTAAGATTCAATAGGAAGTAGGGGCGCCTGGGTGCCTCAGTCGGTTAAGTGGCTGCCTTCAGCTCAGGTCATGATCCCAGTGTCCTGGGATCGAGCCCCATGTCGGGCTCCCTGCTCAGGGAGATCCTGCTTCTCCCTCTCACTCTCCCTCTGCCTGCTGCTCTTCCTACTTGTACTCTCTCTGTGTCTCTCTGTCAAATAAATAAATAAAATCTTAAAAAAAAAAGATTCAATAGGAAGTGTTGTCTTGGCATCAGGGAACATCAGAGAGCCTCCAGTGGCCTCACTCAATGTTCCCTTCCCCTTCTGCTCCCACAGATCAGGTCTCCTGGCCAAACGACCTTCCTTATCCCAGGGACCAGGCACAGCTTCTTCCCAAGGAGTAAGGTCCATTTCCCTGACAGCGTGTGCAATTATCCAGCAAGCCAGTCATGCCCTCCTGCAGGAAGTAGGGCTCACCGTCACTCTCTTGTTACTACAAGGTCTGCCCCCGCCCCAAAGCCCTTCTTCATTCTGCTCCCAGGTAAAACCCCCTTGTGGCCCTGCATGGTGTGGGCCACGAGTAGACATGGGTAATAAATTAGTGTCGAGCTCATCTGTTCAGCATCCGGACATCCCATAACTTTAGGGTGGGAATCACTCCCTTTACTAATGGGTGAAGAGGAGAAAAATGAAATCCTTCTGCTTTGTACCTTTGGCAAGGCACAACGATGAGGCTCATGCACTTGAAGTTCTTTGGATAAGAATCTATTTGGGGCTTGTAAGAATTCCCTGCGGCTAAAGGGCAGCCTGTATGTGAATGATGCGCAGGAGGGAAGGCTGCAAAAGCAAGGGCTTGGATGGTCTCCTAAAGGTCGAACTCCAAGCAATGAGGGAACCCACAAATAATGGCAGCAGGGAAGTGACATCAGATTTTCGTCTCAGTTCGCCCTGACAGCAGCATGGAGAATGGATTCAAAGGAGGCCGAGAGTGGAACCAGCAAGATCAGTAGGCAGTCTACTGCACTAGTCTGTGCAAGAGACAGGAATAGGTGAGAGCACTGGCAACAGAAAGGGAGGGTAGGAATGAGGTCTTTAAAGAAGTCTGAATGGGGGGCGCTGGGTGGCTCAGTCAGTTTAACGTCTGCCTTCGACTTGGGTCTTGATCCCAGGGTCCCGGGAATTAAGCATTACATCGGGCTCCCTCCTCAGCAAGGGACCTGCTTCTCCTCTCTCTGCCACCCCCTCCCCGCCTGTGCTCTCCTGCTCTCTGTGTCCAATAAATAAAATCTTTTTTAAAAAGAAGAAGAAGAAGTCTGAATGAATTGTTTCCAGAGTACAATGGATCAATTAGCCTTGAACTACAAATGAAGATTTGGAGTGGCTTTTGAGGAAATGAACAAGGGAGTGGACCATGGACATTTTGGGTAAAAACTGCTTAAATGTTAATCGATAGGAGCTAGTTAAATAATTTAGGGTAGATCCATAAACTTTGGGTTTTCATTTAAAGAATTAGATGGAATTCATTCACATTTCTAAAGATCTCTAAAGCAGAGTGAATAAAAAAAAAGCAAGTCACAGGATACTATACTCCCAAATAGACAAATATACATGTATTTCTAAAAAGCTGGAGCGAAATCAGGTTACCCATAGAGTGGTTTCCCAGACAACAGAAAAGGAAATGATAAAAAATATATATAAAATAAAAAATAAAAAAAAGAAAGAGGAATGGACTTAGCTGGGAAGAACGAATTGCATTTTTTTAAAAAATTATATTCTTGTACAGTCACGCTATTCATCTCATTTCCCATACAAGGAGTGTGTGCTCCTGTATTTGATAAGTTTGGAACATTAAAACAAATTGATGTGTTCCTTACCCAAGATATATGTAGATACCTGCTCCTTGTGAAAACATTAAAGCAATACAAACAATGTTTTAAGTATCCTTTGACCACAGCCTCCAACCTCACCAGTGTCTACTCTCATAAGAAGTTACCACTGTTGGGACACCTAGATGGCTCAATCAGTTAAGCATCTGCCTTTGGCTCAGGTCATGATCCCAGGATCCTGGGAACGGGTCCCACATCAGGCTCCCTACTCAGTGGAGAGCCTCCTTCTCTCTCTCCCTTTCTGCCCCCCCGCTTGTGTGTTCTCTCTGTCAAATAAATAAATAAATTCTTAAAAGAAGAAGACACCACTGTTTTCATTTTGGTGAATACCTCTGCAGTCATTAAAAGATGCCTTTTTCTGTTAAGTCGTAAAAGAATATTTTTATTAAGCTGAAAGCAAGACTGCAAATATATTACGTTTTGCAAAAGGACATTTTGGGATAAGGTAAACACACAGAGTGACTTGGGGTCTTCCGAGCGCTGTCTCGTCTCTGGCTTGAGAATCCTCTATTTCTTTGAGAGGCCTTTGGCCGCCATTCCAACCTTCTCGGCAGGTGACAGTATTTGGGGTGCGTACGTGGGCAAAGCATCAGTGACGGCATTTAGAAGAAGGTGCTCCGATCCATCCGCTTCCGGTCCAGGTGGGGTAATAAGAGACACAGTTGTGGTGCGGGGCTTCACATCTTTTTTCCGGGATGTGGATGCTAGGGTAGTGTTCAGACGTGCTGGGCCTTTTTCATAGCCAGTTTTCCCCTTCCTCCGGGATCTGGGGGCTTCACGTCATGAGCAGAGGGCTTTGGTGGTGGCAAAGCTGAATGAGATTCCGCTTCTAGAAACTGGACGAAAAGCCCTGAAAAAGAATTCTTGGCCATAGGTCGGTGATTTGGCTTCACACGTGTGTTGGGGGCGCTTTTGGATCCAGGCCCCCGAGTCATCCAGCTGGTAACACCACCTGGCCCTTCATTGAACAGCTGCCAAATCTGGTCTTCTCGGATCCCCAGCATGCTTCCCATCAACCTTAAGGCTTCCTGCCGTTCAGCGTCAGGGGCTTGGAAAGATCCCAGGAAGAGTCTCCTTAGTAGGGTTTTGTCCACCATTCCTTCGGACTTACTGACTAAGTTCATCAGTTTCTTCTGTGTGTCCTCCAGGATTTCCTGCTGGACCTCATTCTGTTTCTGGAATTCTTGGAGTTGGTCTTCCTTCAGCTCCAAGTCAGCATTTGTTTTATGTAATCGTCCCTGCAATGACTTCAGTTTTCCTTCGAGGCTGTCTGCCTTTTCCATCCATTCGGCGAGTTCCAACTTGAGGTCAGCTAGGATGTGACCATACTGCCTTCCTTCTTCCTGCGAGGCAGCAAGCTGGAGCGCAGTGTCCTCTTTCTGCTGGGTCACCACGTGCAGTTGCTCCTGCAGCGACTCTACCTGCAGACTGGCTCCTCGGCTGGCATTTTCCATGGCAGTGGAAGACAAAACGAGTCTTCCCTGCAAGACCGTCACTTCCTTCCTGAGTTGAGCCACTTTGTCTTCTGAGGCCAGAGCTTCCCGGCGATGAGCGTCTTCGGCTTCTAGAGCGAGGTGTCGCCGTCTCTCCAGCTCCTGGGTTAGGCGTAATTCGCTCTCACGTAAATGGCGAACCTCCTTCTGGAGGGCACAGGTTTCCATTTGTTTCTGTGTCAGGGCCAACAGGACTTCATCTCTCCCCTGTTGGCACAGAACTGTCTTTCCCTGCATTGATGGAACTGCACTGACCGGCCGGTTCAATACCCCGGTCTCGTGCTCTTCTCTCTCTTGCGATAGTTGCTCCAAAGCAAGTGCCTTCTCTTTCATCGCAGCACCCTGGGATGCCTCCTCTCTCCGCATCACTGAAAGCAGCCTATCTGTCTCTTGCAATGCCTCATCTCCCACTGCCTTTTCTCGAGAGTTTTCCTCGACTTTTGCATTTTCCTCTCTCGGTTGACACACATCCATTTCCAACTCTGCTATTCTCTCCTTCAGATTGGTGACCGTCTGCCTCAAAAGTTCATTTTCACTCACTTGGCTACGGAAGTTCTCCTGCAAAGAAAGCAAGTCCTCACTTTTCGCTTGGATTCGGAGCTCCTGATCCCGAATGAAGTTTTGTAGAACGGCCTGTTTCTCCTTCAGCTGCTCGATGTCGGAATCCCTGTGTTCCTGTTCTGGGCCTTCTCCTTCCCACGTGGCAGCCACTGAATCAGTCCATCTCTGCTTATCTTCCTGGAGGGTTCGAATCATCCTATCTTTTTCTTGCATTGATTTTCTCAGCTCTTCTACCTCCACTTGGAGCAACTCAGAAGCCTCACCCACTCTGTCAGATTTCACGGGCTCCAGAGAGTCCGCTGACTCTGAGCAGTCGGGGGAGGGCTCGAGGAAAATCACGTCCAGTTTCCCTAGAAGGAGATCCTTGGCATTGCAAAGCTCCCCGATGCTGAGCTGAATTTGTGCCAGTTCCTTCTCTAAATGTTGTAATTTTATTTCATTGCCTTTGTACGTCTGCATCAGGTCACTAGAGGTCGTCGGTAGTTCAGAATCCTTCTCGCTGCTGGTGAAAGCCCGCGCCTGGAGTTGTGCCAGCTCTCTCTCAAGCTGGGGTGACTCACGCTTCATATTTTGGACTGTGGTCATCACCTGCTGTTTCCACTCTTCCATGATCTTCACTCGCTGTTTTAATGTGTCCCGTTCCTGTAGAAGCTGCTTGAACTGATCCATATGAACGCCTCGAACCTCATTACCAGGGCTGGAGGGTTGCAGGAGTGTCAATAAAGTCTGACATTTCTGACTTAACGCATCCACTTCGAGGTCTTTTTCTCGAACGATGTGTGATAAATTCTGAATCGTTTCTCTAAACATCTCCTGACCACTACTGTCCATTCTAGTGGACAGTTTTTGATTTTCCTCTTGCATCCGCCGGAGGTCTGCTTCTGTGGCAGCCATCCTATCCGCCATTTTGTCATACTCTGTCCTCAGATTGCTGTTCTCCCTCGTTTTCTCATTTAAGACCGCCAAGACCTGTTCGCTTTTCCAAGCGTACTCTTGCAATTGCCGCTGAAGTCGCTCCACGTCCCGGTTCTGGCTGTGAGAAGCCGCAGAGATCCTGCTGGAAAGACCCTGAATCTCCAAGTCTTTCTGCTGGATAATCTGAGTTAGTTTACCAATCTCCTCTTTGGAGAGCCGATCGATCTGTTCCGTCAGTCGGATGTTCTGTTCAGTTAGAAGCTTCATCTCCAGTTCGTGTTCTTTGATTCCTAGGACTGATATTTGAGTTTCGGCTTCACGTGAATCAAGCTTTTCACTTGCGTTTTGTCTGGGAAGAGGCTGACTGGTTGGGACTTCCACATCATCACAGTCTTCTGTCGGAATGTGCTGGCTTTTGTCAGGCAACCGGGCTTTCATTTGGTCTATCGTGTCCTGCAAATGCTGAATCTCCTCGTCTTTCGCTGAAAGGAGCTGAGCGTGTTCAATATTCATCTGCTCCTGCCGGTATTGGAGCTGCTCCACTTTCTGCTTCTGCTCTTGTAAAGAATGAAGCAGTCCTATATTCCCCTGCTGCTGGTTGTGAATGATCTTCTGCTGCTCTCTGATTTCCTCCTCGAGATCATCCTTTAACTCCTGGAGTTGAAACACCTCACACTCCAGTTCTATGATCTCGTCTAGGATTTTAGGGTCGATGGCAGGAAGAGAGACTCTGTTGTCTTAGGCTCTCCAGTTCTTCTCTCAGATGATGATTTTCGCTTGTCACGGATGGGAGACACCTGTCTTTGTCCTCCACGGATGGCTGGAAAATGTCATTGCTTCTGAAGGTTTGGGTAGACTGACCGAATTCCTCCTGAAGCTCTGGACTTCCTGTAAGTTCTTCAATATACATCTCTTTCTCTTTAATGAGTTGTATCAATTGCTTCTGCTCCTCCAGAGCAGAGGACAGCATTTCCTTCGTTTCTTTATGGTCGGCGTCCATCTGCTCGATCCTTTTTTTGAGGTGTACTATTTCCAGGTCTTTCTCTTGACTGTGTTGAATGAAATGCACATGCTCTAAAGGGGACAATTCTTTGATAGTTTGCTCATCCTTGTTTGGTTCCTCCAACAGCTTCTTTTGCACCCGAGCCAATTTTGCTATTAACCGTCCTTTTTCTATTTTTAAAGCCCTCACAGCAGTGTTGTTTTCCAGAGAATCCTCATTGTTCTGGACAATAGATTCTTCCAGTTGATGTCCTACATCCTGGAGCGCCAAAACCAACTTTTGGTTTTCTGCTCTGAGATCAGAAGCAACGTTGTTTAAACGGTCATTCAGCCGCTCCATTTCTGCAAGTTGTTGCTTCAACCTTCTAAGCTCAGTTTCCCTTTCTTGAAGTAAGTCATCTTTCCCATGACCGGCAGACTCTTGGTGTTGCAGGTCTTCTATCTGTGTTTCATACTCGAGGAGTTGTTTGCGGTGCCTGTCAGTGATGTCGGCCAGTTTTTCTTGATGGACACTGTGCAGTATCGCAACTCCGAGTTGATGTTCCTCGATCTCCCTCATCCGCCTCTCTTCTAGGTCCCTGATGGTGCTCTTCAGTTTCCAGATGGCATTGGAGTCTGAGCTATTTGGTCCCTTGGACAAATGTTTCCAAAGTGTAAGATCAGCCTCCAGTGTTTCGATCTCATTGAGGAGTGCCTTGGTTTGTGTCTGCGATGATATAACATCACCAAAGTCCATGGTGAGATCCAAGTTGTAGCCGGTCAAGGAAGTCTCACTGCCATCCACTCCCCCCTGGGAATGGCCTAGGCCAGAGCCCAGGCCACCAACCCAGGAGCACATTTTTGCAGGTCATATTAACTGTCGTGGTCCGCTGTGGAAAAGTGTCCAGCGCAGTCGGACTACCCCGCCAAGTGTCCCAGAACCCCTGCCTGCGCCAGGCTAAGAATCAGAAGACAATAGGCAGTTCTAGGCAATGCTTGCGTGGGTCTGGCACCCACCTCCCCTGCGCAGGCAACGTTGCTAGGAAAGGCCAAAACCTTGGGCCTTCCCAGGGCTGACTCTGGCCACCGCTCCCAGTCCCAGCCGCTCAGCCCCACGACTTCCCACACAGGGCTGGGCCCTTTCCCCTGTTCCCCCTGCTTCTTGGTTGTCCTGGGTGGGTCCCTAGTGAGTGCTCCTGCCTGACTGGCCCCAGGTGCCCGCCCACAGAAAATGCATCTGGCCCTGGACTTTCCCCCTAAGTGGTATCTTGGTACACAACTCCTGCGGCTTGTGCTTTCCACACAACAGTATCTTTTTAATCGAGGTGACTAGTACACAGTTACATGCATCCATTCACCTAGGAGAGCAGATCCTAGGTGCATTTGACAAATATCTACACCTGCACAGAGGCACAGCCCTCAAGGAGACTTTGGGCATTTCCGGCCTCCAGAGGCTCCAGTCTATTGATTTGTGTCTGCGATGAGATGACATAAGCAAAGTCCATCGTGAGATCGGAGTTGTGGCTGATGAAGGAAGTCTCACTCACTCCTGAATGACCTGTCCCTCCCTTCCTGGCCAGGTCTGTGGGGACAGTGTGTCCCACAATGGGGTTTGGTGGTTCATAGGCTCTCGCGAGCACCCTGCAGGTGAGCTGCCTCCCTCCTCTCTGCTGACTAGTCCTGGCAGGGGGTCGCGGGCCGCGATGGCGGGCCGGGTTTGGGTGCTACCCGCTCTGCACTGGGTGGCCTCAGGTCTCCCGCTGAGGAGGCCAGGCTGCTTACTGCGCCCCTGGCCTGGCCGGACAAGGCTTGGCGGGTGGTGCTTCTAGATGGACGTGGTGAGGGCGGGTTGCCGGCCTAGGTGGGGAATCAGTGTAGCTGTGTTGGTGGGCCCCAGAGCTGCCTGGCCCGAGCCCCACAGGTCGCCGCCGCCACCATAAAGAAGCAATTCGACCACATAAAGCAGCTGGCCAACCAGACCATGGGCAGGGGATTGTTCAGATCCAGGCTGGCCTCAGGAGCGCCCGGTGGAGACCGGGCCGGGGGCTGGGGGTTGAGGGGGTAGGGACGGAGGGTGGCCGCTCCGCTGGCCCCCTATTCTGGTCCTCCGCTGCCTCCCTGCGCCAGGGTCGCCGCCGGCCCGTAACCGTAAGCCATATGAGACTTGTCACCCAGCTCTTGGCCGCCAACCGGGTCCCCGCTGTCGATGGTTCTGGACCCGCCAAGCATGGCTGTTGAGTCCATTACCTCTCAGTGTGGACTGCTTCCCCCCGCCCCTTTCCCCCCGCTCTACAGATTCCCTCAGGAGAGTGTTTCATTTCTAGCCGCATGAAGTCATGGGTTTTTGTTTCTGTCTGCAGCTATTCACACATGGTGCACATGTTCTGGGTGTTTATGGGGAAAGGGAGCCGGGTGGGTCTGCCCCATAGATGGCTGTCTTCTTCCTGAGGGCATGCCAGTCCATCTCCCCAGTGCTGGAGTCCACAGCCAGGAAGATCATTTTGTCCATGGCCAGAGTGGGAGCCTCAAGGCCCTGGATCCAGAGATGAGTCCCTGGACGCGCTGGGAAGCAACAACACTAAGAGAAAGCAAGTGTGTGGAGGAGGGGTTTTGCACTGGGAGAGAGGTGGAGCACCAAACGGCCGACCCTCCACTTTTGTGTTTCTCATCAGCTCCTGGGCCCTGGGCTGCCATGGATGTGTACCTCAAAACCCTGAGGGCTCTGGAGGACACACGATAACAGGGAGAGGAGCTGCAGTTCAGGATATGGGCAAGGCCACTCCCATTGCCCGAACCACAGTGACTCAGGAAGCAGCCAGGGAGCCATTCTTACATCTCCCTGGAGTCCCGGCCTCCTTCCTTTCCTCTTCTGTACAGTATTTTATCATATATGTGTGTATCTCTAAACATTCCTTTTGCTTGGTTTGAACTTTATAAATATGTTCTATTTTTTCACTGCATATAATATTGCTTAACTTCAGCCATTGATGCTTGTAACTGGCAGCTCTAGTTCGCTTTCACTACTACACAGTTTTGCATTGTACCAGTTTTCCGCACATTCCTTCCTCCACATCTGAAAGGCGATTATGTGCGCAAATCCCTTACTTAGCACAACTCCTGGAGCAGATTGGGCGCTCGAGGAACATTTATTTGTTCAGTGGTTGAGACTGAGCCCCGACTAACTGTAACACTAACACTTGTTTCTTCCGGCTGAATTCCCTGTGCTGACGATCCTGGTACCTTTTCCCCTTTGTGAATGACAGCCTAAAATGTTCTGAGCAGCAAAAAGAAAACCCGTTCTCTCCTGGGGCACCCAAAACTACAATTCCCAGAAAGAATTGCCGTGCTCCTTTGCGTCAATTTCAGTTTACTTCGCCCCCTGAGCGGGCTTCCGGGTTGTGTGGGCGGGAACGAAGAATTATCCAATGATCGCAAACGCGGGTGGAGGGGGCGTAGAAATTGTCCAATGAGCGTCTGGATTGAGGCGCCAATGAGCCGGACGGTTTCTCGGGGACCTGACCTGAGCTGCGTCATTGAGCCGCGCGAGCTGAGCGCGGTGGAACCCAGCCCCTCTGTCTTATCCTCCAGGCGGCTGGCTCGTTCCCTCCGCGTCTGTGGACCCCGCTTCGATGTTCTCGGTGGGCGCAGCACCCCGGAACCTCCACGGCCATGGCCACTAGTCTGAGGACGCCCTCTTTCAGCTCCTGTTCTTCCTCCTCGACAGACACAGACGACGAGGGAGTGCGCGGCACTTGCGAAGATGCTTCTATGTGCAAGAGGTGTCTGCCGGGCGCGGGGTCAGGGGCCGGCGTCCCCGGGGGCCTGGGGCCTGGGTGGGGGGCGGGCCTGTGTCTCCGGAACACGCTCGTTCGCCAAAAGGGCGCCGTCACCTCGTGCGACCCTCGTTTCGCACGTGTGAAGTGCCCGGCGCGGGGCTTCATTCCTGGAGCGGAGAATGACCTCCCTTGTGCTGTGCGCCAGGCCTGGGGGGAGCGTGACTGGGAATGCGGCCTGCAGCAGGCCGGCGGGGTCTTGGCCTCCTTGGGGCTCGAGTCCTTATGGAAGCCCGACGAGAAGCAAGGAAGTCTAGCGTTGAGAGGGGAGGAGGAGTGCAGGTTCTTCCTCTTGCATAGGTCACATTCCGTTGGGGATCGTCAGGGTGCCCGTTGTGCACCTGAGATCAGGTCAGTCAAGGTGTGTGTGTGTGGCGGGGCGGGGGTGGGGGGGACCGGGGGGCGGGGCGGTGAATGATCCGCCCAGGAGCACGTAATATTGGTGCGCAGAACCAGTACTTTCCAGAGCTCTTGCGTGTCTGCCACAGGAGTCTACATTCTAGGGGTGCAGTGGGGGCAGCGTTGTGAGCAGATACGTGTCACATATCGGAAAGCAAGAGGCTGGAGTGTACTTCATTCGTTCACAGAAAGTGTTAAGAGTGTACTTTTTGGTAGGCCCTTCCCTTTGGGTGGGTGGTGGGTATTCAGTGATTGGGAACCCATGGTAAATAGGACTGACATGGTGTCCGATGTACTCACCACCTGGTTGGAAAAGACAGGAAGCAAATAATTACCCATGAAATACATAATTACAGTTTTGCGTTGAGTGCTGAGAAATACAGCGTGCATTATAATTTGTAATTTAGGCAATAATGGTTAACCTGAGAACAGAGGGCAAAGAACAAAACCGGGATGTGTGTGTGTAGGGGGGTGTTCACTTAGAACAAGGAAGGGGTGTGAACTGTTAAAGGAATTGAGAGAATGCCCTTGAAGCTGGGGCCACGTAGGGACTGTAGGGACTGTAGGGTGGGCAAGCCAAGGTTTGGGGTTAAGACTTGCACTTTTTGTAGGTTCCTGGAGACTAAACATAGTGATTTAAAGCATGGAGTCCAGAGCCAAGCTGATCGTAGTTCTGCCTCTTATGAGCTGTGTTCCTAAACCATTCTGGGTCTCAGTTTCCTGATGTGAGAAATGGGGATGATAATAATACCACTTCATAGATGATTGTAAAGATTAAATGATACTTTAATGAAACATTTAGTTTAATGAAACACTTAGAGCCATGTCTGACATGTAGAAGGTGTTAGTGGTGTTTGAGTCCATAAATAGATAAATACATACATTAAGTATTGAAGGCTTGGAGGCAGTCTGTGGTGAAATTTGTGAATTTAAATGGCTTCCACCCAACTTCATTTCTTCTCCAGTGTTCAGGTGCTGTAGACCACATGTGTAGAACTGTTGAATTAGAAATAATTTTTCTCATACCAACTGTTATTTGCTAAGAGAATCTGAAGTGCCATCAAAATGATCAGAGAAAAATAAAATACTTTTCAGGGGCATATCACAATTAGGTGTATTTAAAATTTGTTAATGATTTATTTAATATTTGTTGGTAACAGTTTGTGCAAATTTGCTTACTTAAAAAAGGAGTAAATTAACTGTAGAGTAACTCGGACACAGCGAAAGAACAGGGAAGTAGTTTAACTATAGCTTGCATTTTCTTGACTCTCCATTGGATAGTTTTTATAATTTTTCTGTTCTTGCCTGCGTCAGTTTCCAATGCCCCCTGTGTCTGCAGACGTCTAAACATTGTAGGGGAAGTTTGGGTTTGGAATGGCAGAGACTACAGTGGTACCCAGCCCAAAGTGCACTTCAGCAGAGCCTGTGGGTCTTTTTAAAGAAAATACAGATGCTCTCGTCCTCCTGTAGACTCACTGAATCAGAATCTTCTGGGCTAGGTCCCGGCTATAAAGACCAGGTATGTTTCCCATCTGGAAGCATTTCATGAAAGCTTTTTTTGCGCTGGGCTTTCCTTCAGGGGAACAACATGCAACAAGATTGGGAGAATCCATAAGTTAATATCTGAAAACATTTTGCAGACCTCTGTCCTTCATGTTCTGTGATATCTTGATCTGCATCTTCAATGTAATGTGTTAAACCCTTAAACCTTGTCAGAACGATGTCGTTCAGAAGAAAGGCACTCGCTCGTATCAGCCGGGAGAGAGGAGGATTGGCATTTTGGGGTGGGCACGACAAGCTGGTTTTTGTCTGTTTGGACAAAAGAGCAAGTTAACATCGGGATTCCTTGCATGAATCATGGCCATATCACTTTATGCCTCAGTCCTCTCTTTGGAATCAGGATAAGATTGGAAACCCAGCACAGAGTGTAGCCTTCAATAAAGTATTATTACTACTTTTGATTTCCCTCCATTCTTTTTTTTTTTTTTTTTTTTACAGATTGTATTTATTTTAGAGAGTGACTGCATGACTGTGGCGGAGGAGAGGCAGAGGGAGAGTGAGGGGGACAGAATTTCAAGCAGAATCCACATTGATTTTGGAGCCCACGTGGGGCTCGAACTCACAACTCTCAGATCATGACCTATGTCAAAATGAAGAGTCAGACGTTCAACTGACTGGGACACCCATGCGCCCCTTGATTTCCCTCCATCTGAATATTATTTAGTTGAAGTTACTGACTGTGGGTTAGGCTGGTTCCTGCTGCCCTAGGTTACAGCCATAAAGCCCCTAAAACCGCACTAAGAAAGCCAGTTAGCCTCCCAGGACACCTAGGATTCCCTCCAGGAGAGGGAACCATCCCTTCCTCCCGTGACGGTGGTCAGCATCCTCCACAAAGGCCACGGGAAGCACAGCTGTCGTTAAACACAGTGGCTTCGTTACTCATCCTGAGGGAGAACCCACGTCATGGGGACTGTGGGGCTGAATCGTAGGAAAGAGGGTGTTAGAAAGAACTTACAGGATTTGGGCTTTGGGCGGATGTTTTTGGGAGTGTTCAAGGAAGCAGGGGTGTGCTCTGGACTGGGTGCTGAGGCGAGGCGAGGCGAGACAGTTCTGGGATCGGGTAGCTCCATCAGTGTTTTCTAGAAGGAGGTGTGAGGAGCGTGACGGACGGTGTCATTCAGAAGGAAGACACTCGCTGGTATCAGGCGGGAGAGAGGAGGATTGGCATTTGGGGGTGGGCACGACAAGCTGGTTTTTGTTTGGACAAAAGAGCAAGGGGTCCTCTTTGGTGTCTCTTCATCACCGGGGCCACGGCACCTCAAGCTGCTGTTCTGCGAGGTCATTTGCGTGCAACCGGAGAAGCACGTGGCGTCTCCTGGAGCGCCAGGCCCGCGGCGACCAGCCGTGCAGCCCGGCTCATGGTGCCAGGCCGCCTCCTCGATGTCAGCACTGCTCTTGCTTCTTTGCCAGTGGAGGGGGGAAGCCTTCAAAAGACAAATAGGTGTTTGCAGGGCAGAAGAAACTAGCCTGGCCGTGGAAGCCCAGGGCTGTGTCATCGGCACCTGACATTGGGCCAGGGAGCGGGGAGCAAGAGAGAATTCTGGGGAGGTTGTCAGAGAATGACTCGTGCGAGGACCAAGGGGTCAAGTGGGGGAGCTGACGTGCTCCGGGTTTTCGGACGGTCCCCAGGAGCCTCGTGGGAGATGCACTGCTGACAAAGAGCAGGTCTGTTCCCCTTTCCTTCCCTGTGGCCACAGCCCTGGCTCCGGTCCCTTCTCCTACCTGCTCTGTTGCAGCAGGTCCCTCTTGTTCTGCCTGCTTCTCATCCAGCTCCCTCTCCCATCCACGTGCTCCTGCTCTGGCCAGGGTGATCTTCTTGGAATCCCACATCTTCTCCTGTTACTGCGTTCCTCGAAACCCTTTGATTCCCCATCAGCCACAAGGTGAGAATCTGTACTGTGTGGCGACTCACTTTGCTTTTCCTGATCCTCTCACGGTTCCCTGGGTCTCCCGCTGCCAACGGGAAATCTGTATTTCAATGTCTCCGAATTAGGGCAAATCCATTCTTTCCAAAACTTCTCAAGATCCCCTTCCTGTGTTCTCCTCCTCGCCACCCCCCCCCACCCCACCCCAACTCCGTGAATCGGGCCACTGTGTCCTTCAGTTCCCACGTGCAAAAGGGAGGAGTCCTCTTGGAACTCTGCTTTTACTTCCTTACCCCCTTGTGTGATCATTCTCCCAGACCTGTGATTTTATCTGCTAAACATCTCTGGATTCTACCTCCTTTTCTCCACCTCTGCTTTTGCCCTCTCATTCCGAGTTAAGGTCATTTGTGGTCTGCGCCATGGTTCTAGTCTGCTTACTGAGCTTCCAGGCGCTTCTACCGCCTCCAAATCCCTATCTCCCCCTGAAGCCAGAGGTTTGTGGAAGGCCCATTCGTTCATGTCACTGCCTAGTTTCCTGGCTTCTTGTTGCCGTTCGAGATAGACCCAAACGTTCCTTCTGTGTGTGCACGGCTGCTCCGTCCTTCTTCTCCAGTCTTGCTTCCCGCTCGCCTTCCCTGCTGTATACGATCCAGTCATTCCTTCCAATGTGCCCTGTGCCCGCCGGCCTTGGGGCGGCTCGGCTGCTCCCTCTGCCCAAGTTGCTTTTACCCCACGCCTCTTGCTCACGAGCTCTCATCTTCCCTCAGATGACTGCAGTCACTGCACATTCTTTATTGAACGCCTACTCAGTTGCCAGAGGCTCGGTTCTTGTGCGCTTCCAGATGTGACCCAAACAGACCACGGTGGAACTGTTAGTAAGCCTTTCTTCCAGTGAGAGAAGCAGCCAGTAAACACAGAGCCAAGGAATCCAGCGTGTCAAGGGTGCTGGATCCTGTAGGAGGGTTGGAAGGGGTTGTCCTCTGAGCTGGGATGGCCAGGGAAGGCCCCCTGAGGGCAAGGGTGGGGAAAGCCTTGCAGGAGGTTGAGGGAGTGGGCCCTGTGCATGTCTGTGGGAACAGTGTCCCAGGCAGAGAGAAGGGCGAGTAGGAAGCCCTCTGTGGA